GTGACTGAGAGGAATCCAAGAAGGAAAAAGGCTCTAGCAGTCAATCCTCCTCTACAGAGGGCAATTAATGTTGTTCAGGGATCCATCGGCTTAAATTGAAAAGTTCACAATGTACTATGTATGATTGACTTGTCGGTGGAATAAGAAACGGACTGGCAAAAAGAAGAGAAAAAAACAAAAAAGGGAACCTGACTAGCGCTCCCCAGAATGGATATGGAGGCAGCCTATCAAGAGTTCAAATCCTCCTGGGTACAATAGTGATATGGACTACCGCTTTCAAGACCAAACAAGGAAGAGTGTCTCTCTCTCCATATCCCACAACTCCTCTCCATATACAGTGGATTAGCCACTATTATCACTTCTTTTTTCTCTTTAAGGAGTGCGACGGCTTTGGGATATCTTCACCGATCTAACCGGCACTAATTAATTACGAGTGATTTCCTTCCATTCATCAAGGTCCGCGAGGATTTTGAACACATCAATATTTCATTAGTTCACGGGTGTACCAACTGAGCAATAGCCCCTATTTCCCCCCCCCTACATACCTTCCCCACGTAGCTTCATTTCTGCATCACCGCTGAGAAAATCTGTGCAAAGTCGCAAATGCTACGTGTGGCTGAAACGTTTGCCTTACAGTTGTCGTGCTCCTGTATGTCAACAACAGGCTCGTGATGAGAAAGAAAAAGTAAAGAATGTTAAAAAAAACTGCATTACGGAATTTTGAGCAACTACCTTATCCAAACTAACAAGAACCACAGCTCGTTCATTCAGGTCTCTCTCTCTCTCTCTCTCTCTCTCTCTCTCTCTCTCTCTCTCTCTCTCTCTCTCTCTCTCTCTCGTTCCTATTGAAGTTTCAATGACCACTTTCCGAAAATGGAAATTTCTTTCGTGCAATAAAACAAGCCAGGCCACGTCATCGGTGTCGAAACATGAACCCGACAGCAACCGGCTTGCAGTCGAATTAATACTCAATATGAAGTATACCGTAAACCAGACTGAGCCATGAACTGCAGCGTGCAGCATGCATCACATGGGTCAAAGAAACCATACATGTTCCCGTCGCTGTCACTGAGAGCAGTGAGCACACATACTCATCATTTGCATTGGTAAAAGAGAGCACACCTGCCTGATCCCGCGCTCTTATCATTTCAGCACTCCTGACACAACAGCACATTGCAGGAACTCGGGCACAGACGGCAGAGAGCTCATCCAACAAGGTGATCTGCACTCACTCGTTTACAGGTACAAAAGTTACAAAGCAAACTCCTCTGCACCTCTGCCCTGCACCCTTATTCCTTTGATCATCTGATTACATGATCGGTAGAGGAGTTGAACGGAGCAGGCCCCATCCAGTTGTTGTTGTTGTTGTTGTTGTTGTTGTTGTTGTTTTTATTGTTTTTGTTGCTGTAGTTGTAGTTGTCGTTGTTGTTGTTGTTGTCGCGTCCCCCTTCAGTTCTCCCGACAAAGACCCCAGCAGACAACAATCTCCGAGGCTCTGCTGCAGGAAACCAACTCAGGGCATACTCAGGCTTTCTACTGAGCTCGGGACATCATTGCAGTCAGATGCATCCAGGTTAGGCCACAATCAAAGTCCGGTTTGTTGAGGAAAGCGTGAGCGTGAGTATGATCTCACTCCACTCATTGTACATCCATCCTGACATCCTGGCATCCCCCCCCCGTAGAACCAACAAGATTCAGTCAACCTCATCTTTGGTTCTGAGTCTCTGACGGATCACAGCGACGACCTGCCAGAAGACCCATGCATAGAGGCAGTTTTTTCCAATACCGAGTCTCTGACGGATCACAGCGACGACCTGCCAGAAGACCCATGCATGGAGGCAGTTTTTTCCAATACCTTTCCTGTGTCACACCGTCTCACCGTACACATCCTGCCTACAAGGTGTTGAAGGAGTCGACTGTCTAAGCTCATCCCTCAACCCCATAATCAATTCAGCACTGACGCGACTTCCTTCCAGCTAACGAAGTTGTCCGCAGCTAAGCAGCAGTTGCAAATAGACGAGTGCAGGGTTCAAAAGAGTGTGAAGCTCATTCAGCGACATGTACGCCTGCATTTCCGAACTGCGACTAATAACACCACGTGCTACCGACGATGCACGACCCATACACTTCCACTGCATTCCGGAAATCAGTCGCGGCTAGTGGTGCTGTCGCTACACCCGCTAATACCTTATGGGGCACAAATGGATTGACGGCAGGCTTCACATGAAGTAAAGGATGACTCGGCCACACAATCCGACAAAGGACAGGAAACGATCCCCTGGACATCATCCAACGCTTAATAGGCATTAGGCAAAACATTCCAAGTAGCCATAAGCTTAGAGGTTAGAAACCATAAAACAGCAAAACCATCTCAAGCGAGTCGTGCCTTGCCTTGCCTTGCCTTGCCTTGCCTTGCCTTGCCTTGCCCCTGCCCTCAGCCAGTGATGCCAGATACATATGAACACTGCTTGGCCTGCCAAAACCAGCATGTCTAAAACTGTTGAAAAGAATCGATACGTACCCTAGGAAGCATATATCATGGCATCTCAGCCTCTGAACTTGATCGCAAGCCACCATCCACATGCTTTGGCGTCAAAGAAATGCTCCTCCACCAGCACCGCATCGCATCATCTGTCTGTCACATAATACATGGGTGTGCAAAACCTCTACTCAGGAAGAAGCCCTCCGCCCATGTACAACGAGGAAATCTGGAATTAGCAAAGTCAGTCTTACCTGTAACCGGTGATAGACTATATTGCACCCGTTTCTGGAAATCTGCCAGAGACAAAGCTTGCAAACATACTTCGACATGTGACAGTTGAACCTGCACTCCACTGCTCTACATCAATTGCACACAGCAACCACAGTGAGCACAATAAGAGTTAAAGACCACCACGCCCCCCAAACCTAATTTGTCAAACTTTCGTGTATGGGCTGACCCTGGCCTTTCCAGCCTGAGTCGTCCGGCCTGCCACCCCACAAGAAGGAAGTGGCAGCCATACCCATTCAGCCGCGTCAAATTTCTTTTTGTAGACGGAAGAATTTCGTCTCGGAACTTTTCATCGCAGGAGACGGGGCGCTCTAAGTTGTGCACCCTGATCGGGCGCCCCCTTGCACTGAGTAGGCCGAACCTGCCCGTGATCTCCACGTCTATCCGGTTCACTGTCAGGAGTAGGCACAGGTCAGTGTTGTGTCGGGTCCCTTTCACCGCCGTCATTGTCGTTGCAAAGAGATGGATTAAGAAAACCTTTTACGCGGTTATTGTCACTTCGCCAAGGACTAATGCTTCCTTAGATGCCCTGAGGACGAAGTGAATGATGGCCATAATCATTGCCATCCACATAGTACCGCTGAAGCAGTTTGCTTCGTTCCGGGTACACGGTTCCCCGCACACTGATCAATGGAACTTCAATCAGTCGGTGACAGTGCTCAGGGTACCAGCCAAACCAAGGCCTTGCGAGCACCACAAATCAACTAACCCAGTCCAGGATACCATCTCCAACCTGAGTCCAAGATAAAGTACAAAACACACAAGATAAGAAAAATATGTTCATATAAACACATCCAGCAACGATATCCACCCAATCTATCATGTTAGCGTCGTGTGCGGCATGCCATGACAAGCTCACCTTCCCATCCCCCACAATAGGTGATTGGTAGCAATTGACAGGGAAGAGTGCCTTCCTGAGTTGATTGATTCGAATCAGAACATTGATGACAAAGATACAAGAGAACGTGGACAAAATAAACAGGATATTCTGAAAGTAGGAAGAGCATACCAGAAGGAAATTGCAACAAGTCACGATAGTTCCAGTGCCTCATTGAGAAGTTCATTCCCGTCCCTTTCTCTCTGATCTCGTAAAAGTGCTATGAAAACGCAATGGCAAGGCCCGACCACGGAGGAGATCTGGATCCACGATCTCTCTCTCTCTCTCTCTCTCTCTCTCTCTCTCTCTCTCTCTCTCTCTCTCTCTCTCTCTCTCT